AAAGCCCAGACCAAGATTTCTAACAATCTGCTGCCATATTAGATTGGTTTTGGAGAGAACACCTCCGTTTTATTAAGGTTATTTTAAGTTATACATGCACTCAGCAAGCGGTAGCTGATAATTAAAAGTGTTATTGCGAACGAAAAGCTGAATAGCCGCCAAGCTGGCTATGATCGATTCTTGGCTGGTCAGCTCATTTACCAGTTCAGCTAACCAAATTTGGTTTCAGTCCCCGCCGAAATTCAGATTTCATCATAGTAGTACTGCTTAAAAACATTGAATGCTAAAAATTAATTAGCTTAATGGAAAAAATTTTGTAAGATCGTGTATATATGTAGTAACAGAAACTCTCTTACTTCTCATATCTCAATTTCTTTGACAAACTGCACGTCATTATTATGAAGCAGTATTCACAGATCTCCCTGTAATACATTTTGGCATGTATAACAACATAAGTATATCATTCACTTATAAATATATAAGTAGATATGGGTACTAAATATCATTATCTAAATTAATGTATAAAAAACTAGAGAAGAAAAAAAACAAAAAAACGCAAAATACTCTATCGCACCACTTTATTTCGTTACTATTTCTTGCAAGACTTAAGAGTTACCAATTACTTTTTTTTTTTGTTAAATAAGTAACTACTATATGTCCATTGTTGTATATGGGTATTTATGTATTTACATATTGTACATACATAAATACTCATATACATCAAAAAATTCATATTTAATATATGTATCTATATTTACTTATATACCCACACTCACTATAAATACATGCATATGTATGTATAGTATACACGCATATGTATGTTGTAACACAAAATTTATTATAATACTTTTTCGAACTTAAAACTGCCCTCTAATGTATAATTTTTTAAATAAAAATGGAAACGTATATTATGTATGTACATATTTAGCGATGTATATAGCGTTAAAAAAAATATATTTTGTATATCTTCACCTATGAGTATGAGAAAAACAAAAAAAAAAAACAGCAAAAAAAAATTTAAAAAATAGCAACGAAAAAAAAAAATTTTTTTAATGAAATAGTCTCGCGACAGCACAGTACCGTGCGAAGCGGTTAACTTTTATTTATTTATTTATTTTTTATTTTTTTTATATATTTGTGTTCCTTTATATTTATTTATTTATGTATTTATTTATTATTTTTATTATTTATTTATCTCGTTTGACGTTCTTTTGTTTCTTGTATCGACGATTTTGTTTTTTGAAAAATCAAAAGTACCAGAATAAAATAATTATAATTAAATTTTGAAAAATAATAATGTGAAAATTTGATTACAAACGCGCAATAATTCAAAGAACTCAATTAACATACAATGAGTCTAACACGATGACACTAGCTATATATATACATACATATGTATATTATAGGAAATATCAAAATTTTGTGTGCTTTTTGTTTTTAATGAAACCATCAATTATTTTTAAGAATTAATTAAATTGACTCATAATATTCATGTTTTTTTTTTTTAATTATTAAGTTATGATTGAGCACGAAAGATTTATGCTAAATATATGATCTTGTATGTAAATGTAATTATGAACAGAGTAATATAAAAATTTAACAATAATGAAATCATATGGCAACAATATTTATTAATAAATTAATATGGAATTTAAAGAATTTTTAATTTGTATCAAAAAAAATTTTTTTTTAAATAATTTATATTTAGTAATTCTTAACCTGTTATAAGTTTACAAACATGACAAATTAAACGCAAATTATTTAAATGTGAAAAAATTCAATTTAAAGTACAACTCCGTTATAGACAATATTATCGTATTAATTCGAAGATACATTAAAACCATATCTACTTTAATTCTTAAAAAAATTATGTGTATGTATGTACTTAAAAATTAATATTGAGTTGAATTTTTATAAAATTTTGTTAAAAAATTTTGTTTTTGTATTGGAATTGCAATGATTCTATACTGTTTGTGCTTAAATTTCGCAATAATATAATTTTAATTTAAATAATGGAATCTCTACTTAAGTATTCCATTGTATTTAGATGCAACATATAAATTTTGAAAGTGAACTGGCTATAATTATGAAAATTTAAAAATATTAGTCAAATTATAACCAAAATAAAATAAGAAGAAAATTCCCTGTTAGCATTGCAAAATTCCTAAGAAAATTCCCTGTTAGCATTTTAATTCATAAATTCCATAAATATACAAATTGATAAGAGTCTAACACAAAAACTGATTTATATTTCGAATTTATATAATATAATAGTGTCAAATTTTTCATTTTTAAGCTCTGCTGCCTCGGATCGTCAAATTATCCTAGAAAATTTAATTGAATTACCACGTAATTTTCGATTATTTTATATGTTAAACTATTAAATTCAAATTATATTTCTTAGTATGTTATTAAAGCTAGAAACTGTTGTATTCGACAAGATCACTTACAGCGATTAAAAAAAAAATAAAAAATAAAGTAAATTTTATTTTTTTTTTTTTTTATTGGTGTGAAAAGAAAACTTCCTTTTATTCGGAATAAAATACTTTTATTTTTCGCTAATATATTTCGTGCGCTACATACGCACTTTATCAAAGCTGATTTTCTTCTAATTAAGACAACAAACAATAAAAATTGAAATCTATTAAAATTAGGAATATTATACCTGACTTAATATAATCTACCTGACTTAATCTAGAATTTGATTATTATTTTTTTTTTTTTTTTTGTTATTATTTACAAACTAAATTTATACCTGTTTTAAACAAGTAAATAAGTAAATTTTAATTTATCTTTTATAATTTAAATATTAAATTTATGGTAAATTTTACATTATTAATATATTGAGTTTTTGATTAAATGTCACCATATTGACCGGATTGAAACCAAATATAGATTTATTAAATATGTAAATTTTTTAACATATCTTTTTCCTCCAAAAATTTAAAATAAAAATTTACGTAAATTTTTTTTTTGTTTTATTGATCTGACCTATATATATACGTACGTAATATAGTATAACGAACGACCTACAACAAATCTACCAATATATATTTGATTAAAATATATTGAAAATGCATTTTAACACCTTCTTAAAAATATTAAATACAAGTTTTTTTGTTGTATTCTTATAAAAAATTTACCTTTTTCAATTCAATATTGTCTTTTTTATATCATACAGTTGAGGTTTCTTCTTTTGTTTTTGGAAGCGTAAATATTATAGAAATGTCATAAATCAGAGAATATAATTTTCAATGCTCAACTTTATCGTGTAATTTTTTAATTCCAAAATATATATACGAGTATGTATGTATTTTATAACTTTACTGAACTATTAATGCGTAAAATTTTGATTAAATATAATAAAAATGAAGATTAATATAAAGCGTTTACAATGGAAAGTTGAAAAATTATACTACTTACAAAATATTGAAAAATATTTATGAATATTTGTGTGTAAACGTAAAAATTAACTCATTTTAGTATAATAAAATCTTTGTTATAACTTAATCTTAGATTCATTTTTTATTTTTTTCTTGATTTTTTAAATAAATCTCTTGTAAAAGCGTGTTTAAGGTATTTTTATAGCTAAAATTAACCACGTTATATTTAACCATGACAAAATATTTTTTTTTTTAGATTTTCTATTTATTTTTACCATCATTTTCATCTTACATTCATAATACAAGTTAAAGCTCTTTTAAATTTTATCATATTTTTTTCTTTTCCTATTTCATAAAATCACCATAAAATTCCCAAAAAAAACAATAATTTTTATTGTATAACAGTTTTTATTATAAAAATTCAAAATGCACGTACGTATTGAAAAATTACAATTAAAATTTTAAAGTTATAAAAAAAAAACAAAATTAAATAAAAATCAATAAAATCAAATTAAATTATTTATTATCAATTTTCAACAGTAAAATGTAAAATTTTAAAATAAGAGATAATATGCGTTTACTTTTATTTAAAACGCAAGCATATAAATAAATTATATAACTTTAATTAAAAATCTGTTATACTGTTATACATATTTTTAAGTTATAAAATATATTATGATCAGGTTAGAAAACTTCATGCTCTTATACTTTAATTTTTATTATTCTTTCATAATTCAACGATTTCTAAATTAATTCTTTATTATTTTATTAATTTAATTATACACTTTTTGAACAATTTAAACACGCGTCTTTTTAAAAAATTTACAGGGTGCGCGCATATTTTCAATTCAATTAAATTACTTCTTTTGAAATTTTAGTTTTATTCCCATTTAGATTATTTTTGACATATGAAAAATCAAAAAAATTCTACTTACTTCAAAGTTTATGTACATGATTGAAATCGATTGTAATCTTAAATGTCAAACTATCAAAATAAATTGAAATTGTTTTCAACATTTCCTACTATGCATGTTACTCTTGTGATTGTAATTCACAATTGCTCCTCAAATAATTTATTTAATTTTATGTCAAATTTTTTTTTTTGAATAATTAATATGTTATAAAATTAATATTTTTTTAATAAAATATAATCAAAATATTTTGACGTAAAATTTTGATTTCAAAAATTTCAACAATGAAACCACATAATTTTAAATTTCAAAATTAATAGAAAATGGAAAAATTTTATTTTTCAGTCATTCATCTTCAATCAAAAAGAAACAAACCCAATTAATTAATTTTTTTTTTCCTGAATTTTATATAGAGAATAACATTGAAATTTTTTTAATAAAATTAAAAACAAAAAAAATAAAAATTAATTATAAATAAAACAAAAGCCGCATGGAAAAATAATTAAAAAGCAAAAAAAGAAAAAATAAAAGTATTTTACAAAAAGAAACAAAAAAATTTTATTTTTTAATTATTTCACAATGACATTCGTACCCTTATATAAATGTTATATCTATGTGTATATACATATAATTAAAAATATATAAATAGAAAAAATTTATGAATGAAATAGTGAAAAATTACAAAAAAAAAACAAATTCAACATTAGATTTGGAAAGTATATTATGCGCGTGAGAACTGTTAGACAAGTGAAACAACAACAAAGGCCACGTTACAAGAAAGCAGGTACAAAATACAATTCTATAATAAATACACATCTATATACAAGTATGAAATGTTTACTCGTATTGTGTAAAATTACATGCAGTAAAATTTTTAGTACAATATTTGGTACAATATTAAAGGCATTTATTTATGCAGCAATGTGGTGTTTAAAACAATGCTTTGGAAGCAAAAATAAAAAATTCTCACAGAAAGCTAAAAGACTTCGGTTTAAATTAGTTTGGAAAAAAATTATTTTTTTTTTAATTTTTCTAATTTAAAACAGTGTTCTCCAAATTTTCTTTTAATATCATCGCAAATTGCACGGCAAATTAAAAGTGTTTTTGCGTGGTATGACTATTGTGATCTGTGATTTACTTTTAATAATAATTGAACGCAAACGATGTTGTTAACCGATTTTTCAAATATAATATGTTTTGTAAGACAATCATTTATAGCAAATTGAAATTTTCTAAGGCTAAACTTGAAAAATTTTTTTTTGGCTCTTTCTGCTTAATTTTTAACTTTTAAATAATAAATAAAATTTGAATAATAACAGAAGGGACAACAAACTATAATACTATTAAAAATGTCATCAACGACATCACATCACGCCGAGAAGTTCGTTGATTTGAGCCTATTTTCATATAGTGGGAGAATTATATGATCCTCCCAAGGAAGAGGGCGAAGCTGTTATCGAGAAATTATTGAGAACGAACAAGAGATGAATGCAGGGACTTTAAAATATAAGGATCATTAAATTTTTTTAGGCCAGCGTTTAATAAAACCCAACATTGAACCGACTTTGCCAATCGTATAGTTAAAGTGATCAGCAAACGTCAATTATTTACATCAAAGCATATATCCAGGTCCCTAAATGAATCAGCTCTTGTAAGATTTAAGACATTTGGTGTATTACCTGAAACACTAATTTGAGAACAGGAAAAACTATAGAGACTTACAATTTATTAGGAACTTCTGTATAATCAAATTTAAATACGAGTATACGAGTATATCAGACTACAGAGTTGATTAAAATTTTTTATAGCCTCTTACTACCCTTCCACCAAGTATGATTTAATTTACATTTTCTGAATAAACCCTAAACATGTTCAAATCAAAATATATCATTTATTATTGTGAAGTTCAAATAACTGCACAGATTGAGAAAAACTGAATTAAAATTTCAAAATTTATTCTTTCTATTATAAAATTCAATTTTTGTTTTTTTTTTAATCATTTTTATGGTAATATTAATTATAATATTTTATTTTAGGGGGAAATACTAATATCGATGATAACTTATCAAATAATTTGGACGAATCAGTGAAAAAACTTTTACCATTATTATTACCACCAGAATATAGAATGCCACCACAACCACCTGGTAGTACAACGATTTATTCAGGTGATGCAAATATACCTGGAGCAACAGTTGTTGAAACATCTGATGGAAATTTATTAAGTCAAAATTCATTTTTACGTACTCATTCAGCTAAATTTCCGGTAAGTTAATTTTTACAATAACTATAAATTCCCTTGGGATACTTATGATCCTTATTATTCAATAAACGAATTGTTTTTGGCGATTTTTTCAAAAAGACCGAAAAAACTAAATCATTTATTAAAATTAATTGGAATGTTTAGAAAACAAATAAATTTTATATTAAAAACCTTCAGGTTGAAGTCGAACATTTATCATTGCCGTCCTACAATATAATTTGTACGTCATCTGAAAAATAAATACTTGTCCATCAAAAATACCTAGACGTTGTTATATAAGCCCACCAAATATTATTTTTGTATTATTAATTATTCAGAATCAAATTAATTTTCTCAATTCATCTAACAACGGTCTACATTTCGTTATTTTCTTCATTATAATTATGAATTTTTCTTTGACTTTTTGTTAAACAGTTTTAAAATTTGCTTTCTAAATACCTTTAATAAATAAGATTAAATGAAAAAAAAAATTACAAACAATTCTGAGAAATTTTCTCATCTACAACATTTATTTTTTTTCTCCTTTAATTTTCTTTCTCTATTAAAATTTTATCAATAACTTTTGACCTATTCAGTTATGTATGAGAAAATTTAAATCATCACATTTAAGATTTTGCCGAATATGCAATTTATTTAACATTTTCACATTTGCATATTTTTAATGAAGCCATTACTGTTATGAAACACAATATGTAATTACGATCTCAACTACATATATTTCTCTTCAGAATAGTAGGAGTGTGTTATTATAACAAACACGGAACATTAATTAAATGCTTTTCATTAAAAAGTCAGTAGTTTAGAACGCAAAACTTCATCAGCTACTTTTATATGGTTACATTAAATCAATTGTATTATTTTTTTCTATTTCGTAGATTGAAAGAGAACTTATTCTAACAAATGAAAAAGGATCTAGTAAAATACCATTAATGACTGATCGATCTGGTGGATTGTTATTAAATCGTCAAATGGGATCGGCTGTTGTTGCTCCAGATCATCCACCAAAACACTTACAAGCATGGGTAAGCATATGATTTTATTCTATTTATGTTATACTATGGTAATATAAAAATATATATTTTAATTATCTTTAAAAATAATTTAACTACTTACTCATTAATTACATGAGTTTAACTGTTATATAGTGTACGTTTCATTGATTTTTAACAAAAGAGAAACAGTTACTAACATAGCCTTTTATGATATAAATACCATTATCAAAAAAAAAAACTTACCAGCAATGAAAATAAATTGAATTTTGATTTAAATGTAAAATGTTTGTAATAAGCAAAAAATTGATATAAAATGTAAAACAGTTGATCGTATTGTAAAAATGAACCCTAAAGTATTGGTACATATTTAAAATCGGTTTTATATAACATTGTGCATATAAAATGAATTTGTAAAATTTTAACGCATTCTCTTACTGCATAGTTTTAGGATGAGAATGTAAATTAATATTACGCATTAACATTTAACGTATAATAATTTACAAAAAAATTATCGCTAACATTCGAAAACTAATTTGGTCAACTAAGTTTAAATTAAGCAAGTTATATAATATTAAGTATAATTATTATAGTGATTAATGATCTACCTCTCTCTATCTTTTTTTTTTCTTTTTTCTTTCTTTTGTCTTCTTTCTCTTCATCTCTTTCATTCTTTCTTGCTCTTTCTAGCCCCGTCCCCCTCTATTATTCTCTTTCTCGCCTTTCTTTCCCTCTTTCTCTACCTCTCCCTCGTCTACCTGCCCCTTCACCTCTAACTTATTCAACTCTCCATCCTTCTCTCCCTCCACCTCCCATATTTCCATATCTCGCGCGCTCTCTCTTCCGCTCTCTCTGTCTCGATTTCCCAATTTCCCTCTTTTTCTCCTGTCAAATTCATATATTCATATATAGACATTCTAACAACGAATCAAATCCCAACTATCGAATCTCATAAGCAAATAACAAGAAAGTAAGTTTAGAAAAACGTAATAATAAAACACATTATTGTAAGTGATGAGTTTCTTAATTCAATTTCTTCTCCGTAATCCCGTATCGTTGGAATAACACTGAAAACGATAATAATATACTATACACCTTTGTGCAGTGAAATGTGTCAATAAAATAAATTCCTATAACATTGAACTTTAATAAAATTTTATTTAAATTGTTCTATAAATAGAATAATTTATTTTAAATGTCATTTTATAATCTATTATGTGAAAAAAAGTATTGAAATTGTTACATACCCTGCAATTGCTGTTTCAATTATGTCATTAAAGAACTTTTAATTTTATTTTACGCTCAAAAATTGTTATACAAAACATTAAATTGTTTTTTTTTTTATATTCAATTGAAAATGAAATCGTGTGATTAGAACTCAATGTCAATAAATTTCTTTACATAGAATTTTAATGAAGATTTATAGTTATAGAAGTTGTCTATGCGAGGTACATTTATACCTGTTGTAAATAATGAATCAAATTGAAATTCCCACTGGAAACCGTCTAATGTAGTTACAAAATAAAAGAAAAAAATAAAGCCGGACTTTAAATTTACCTCCAATTCAAAAAAAAAACATTTTATTGTTATACATTTTTTTTTCTTCTCATTTAATTGCTACCAAAAAAAACCTTGTAAGGAAAACAAAAATAAAAGTTAAATATTCTTCACACACCATATAACACCCTTTTTTTTTGTTTTTTATTGAAAAAATTTCAAAATTTTATAATTCACTAATTCAGTAAGACATGAAATACTTTAGCAATGTGAAACCATATCCGAATAATAATTAAAGAACGTCCTTATTTAGTATGCAACATTCATCCTATAACCTTTTGAATTTCTTATTCCCCTTCCCCACCGTATTTTGTCTTTCTTGTTTTATGAGAAAAATTATATTTTAAATATTATAAAAATATAAAAACAAAAACTACTCATTCTTCTCCTTCAAACTGTTTACATTTCTTTTTCTTCTCCTTACTTTTTTTTAATTCATATATCCTTATCCTGTCCGGTAGATCTCTGATTCGATTCACTTCATTTCGGTTCAATTCGGGGTTGACTAAAATAAAAAAAAAAGTAGCTATATAAAAGGCACAAAAATATTAAGAACAAAAAATCAAAATGGCGATAAATGAAAAACTTCTTCTTAACGTTTCTTTTTAAATAAATTGTACAACAGGTGTTTGGGTAATAAAATTTGCAGAAAATAATAAAAAATTATTAAAAATTTGGCTTTTATTATTAATAATTTTAAGAATATAACAAAATTCATGAAATACTATAACATATTGTTATACGCTATTATAAAAGATCTCGCTTTTATACACAAATACTCCTTTAAACACAGAAATAAGTAAAATTAAATTTATTTTATTATAAATTTTCAAGAATTCTATGTGGATGACCGTCTTATAGAAAGTTAATTGACAGAATTATAAGACTAACAATTTTTTTATATTAGTCTTATAATATATATTAAAATTTCGACTGCCATATGTGAAGTACTCCATTTTTCGTTAACTAGGTTATTAATAACTAATAAAGGTGTCGTGTCATAATTTCATTCATTACTAGATATATTGAATACAGAATTTCCGATTCTCGATTAAGATAACTTAGGGAAAAAGAATAAGAATTTTCAATGGCTGTGTCATTGTTGTTATAGAAGCCGACAAGAGAATTTATAGAAGATTGCCATATGTTCCCTAAAGAAATAAGAGATGAAGGGTGTAACTTCTAAAAATTAACAAACGAAATTTCTTTTTAAACACCCTATATTATTAAAGGTAAAATGTATAACATAAAATTTTGTTTCTAAAAATTTATTGATTTTTGTTTTTTTCCGTTTTTTTCTTTTCTTGGAAGTATTTTTTTAGTTTCCTGTAATTCTTTTCTTACAAAAGCCTTACTTTAATAATTTCTTGTTTTTCTTCAGTAAATTTCATAGTCCAAATAATTATAGCACAGGTTTATTGTGTATATTGCAATTTTTATTCTGTATATAGCCATTAATTTATTAATTTACATACATGAATTTATATTTGCGTGCAATACTTACACAATCTTGTGTATTTACTGTAATCTTGTGTATTCTTGTGTATTTATATTGTACGTGTGATATCTTGATATGTATGTATATTATAAACAACATGAATTTCCAATCTATGCTTTTCGCAGGCGGCATTCAATCTATGTGTACATAACGCGAATTTAAAGAATATTGGTTATTTACAAACAAATTGTTTCGCTTTGGTTTTTGTTTTCCTTTATTTAATTTGAACAATAGATTGGGATGGTCCGAACCGAACCAAATTTTTTGTGTATCAATGACTTGAATACTAGATTATAGATTTTTAAAGTAACCGAATGGAAACAAAGTACATTTCCCCCATAGATCATTGCAGCTATTTGCGGCTTATTATAATCGCCTGTTCCGCTCCCGCTTAAAATATCTCCGTTCCAAGTATCAAGCTACAGATATCCCCCGAATATTGGAGAGGAGTTTTCGAATATTAGAAAATGTCGTTCAAAAAATTGCAACGTCGGACAACCAGTACCGATCCTGCACCTGGGGACACCTGCACAGTTGGTGACACAATTTTCTTAGCTTATACAAATGAATATTGGATCCTAGTTATTCATTATTTTTTTCCCTTATTTTACTTACTTGTTCTAAAGTATTAACGCCAAACAAATTTTTTTTTAATTTACCAGAGAAATATTTTGTTTTCTTTGACTTTACAATTTCCATTTAAAAAAAAAAACGAAAATTCATCATAATTAATCTTATAGTTTTGAATAAATTTAATAATATTCTTATATTTCAGGTTTCAGTTATAAAACAGAAGTTGCCTCGGTTTCTTTATACTTTTTGTTTCAAACTTACGCTCTATAATTAAAAAACGAACTCAGTTCTTTCTCTATTGTTTTTTTTTTGTATATTTTTATTGAATATTTTTTATTCTATATTTAGTATAAGCCTCATCTTAATTTTGTATAAATGCTCAATAAAATAACTTTTAATTTAAATTCGATTTGAATATGCCTTTAGTCGTATTTGAAGAGCTATTAGCCATAACGTTCAATATTCGATTCTGAAAAAAAAGCAAAATTTTTATTTCTTTCTTATTATTTTCCTTTGAATTCCTAAATAACATACTATAGTTAAAATGTACACAGTATAATAACAGTATAGAACAAAAGAGATGGTAATAAAAAAACGAAAAAGAACAACTAAATTAAATATCAGTTACAATACCAATACCTTGAAGAGAACTAAGCTTAAACTAAATTTTTGAATTTAAATAGAATCAAAAATTTATTGTGAAATTTCAGTGGCGTTACAAGTTACTGACATACTGTTGACATATTATTGATTTTTATAAGGGTTAATTAATATAGAACTTTTAGAATAATATAGAAAATAAAATTCCTTTATAATAAATTTTATACTCTTAAGTTCTTATATGTGCTTACATAAAAATCAATACATGTAACGTATAACTTTGTTAAAATTCTTTTCTTATCTTTCGATCTTAAAATATCTCTCTTTTTCATTAGGGGCAGTGTAGTCGTTACGGATATGTTTCGACATATTAAAGTGAAATAAAATTTCGAAAGGTTTACCCCTCTTGCCTACACACTAATCGAAACTTTCACTGAATATCAGCACTAGAAGGTTTCGTTGGTGACTTCAATCATATTAAAGTTCGGGATGGTCAAAGGTGTTAGCTTTTACTTTCCATTCTTAAAAAATTTTCGTCTTTAAAAATTACAATGGAGTTAGTGAGAGCAATTTAACTGAAAAAGCACTAATTTTCAATTACAAAACTTTTCGCCCAACCATTTCTGAGCAATATATAAGGGTGTTTTATGTACCTAGTTTTATTGTTCGTATTGTATTTTATTAAAGCTAATTTTCCTTTTTTTCTTCTTTTGAATTTAAAATATAAATAATTTATTTTGCTCCCTTTATTTAATCTTCGCAGTTTTTCAAGTTCCTCCCTTAAATCTTTTATTATATATGTTTA